TTATATATATATATATATATATATATATATACAAATAATATTTATATATATATATATGTATGTATGTATGTCAACATGTATATATATATATGCTTTTCGTCTATTTTTCCAGTTTTCCTGGTAGCGAATATGTGAATCATATTTCTAATGCGTTCTAAATATCTATGTATGTTTTTAAGATGGCAGACCACTTGAGCAATATACCTGGAAGGGGGAGCCTTCAATTTTGGTAAGTCAACCACCTACTGTTATCGATTGCAATGGAAACTAAGCTGTTACACAATTTCATTTGCACATGAAATGATACCTGTAAATATTATGCGTTTTATGTTATATGACGGTTTGTCTCAAGAAATTTGGATCTTTTCGATCATGTGTTGATTGTATATACGTTCAAATGCTGGGATCAATAGTTTATGCACTGGTATAATTGTAATATTCCGGGGAGTGTGTCTTTTATGCGGCACCGTGATATACTTGAGAGTCGCTTCTTGTATACTGCCAACAACAATACACTAGTATTTGCCAACTACAATACGCTAGTATTGCACTTTTGAGGGCAATCAGAATATGCCTTATCAGTTGTTTATAGTACGTAGGTAAGACATCCTTATCTCACGGGATATCCGGGTCTAAACGTATGATCTGGATACCTGGAAAGTGTGCAAAAATCCCTTTCAGGGGGATTCAGTTATCCAACCACAAATGTTCTTCCTGCCATGCGATTCTGAACACACTTGACTCACACAAACACGCATTCACACGCGCACACACGCGCACACACACACACACACACAATGCCCCCTTCCCCACACCACACAATCAAACCCACGTACACGCGCACATATACACCCAGATAACCACTTTCTCTCACTCGCTCACTCGAACTCACATTCTACCTCACACCCGTACACTCGTTTTTCAATGTACAGCTCTTGGGCGCCACCAGCTTCCTAGGGAAGTATCTGGCGGAAACGTTTGCGGAGAAGGGCTACAAGACCCACCTGGCAGACCGGATCCCATTCACAGAGAGCACAGCCGGGCACATACAGCGAGCTCGAGCGAAAGATCTGATGGACAAGCTGGGGAAGTCGGTGACAGTGGGCGACACATGTGGCATAAGTAAGGGCTTCGGGGGTTCTGTGTGTGTTCTATTTTTAGACACATACACATGTACCTAGAAGCAACAGCGTGGCAGGGGTTTTTGGATGTGTGTACAGTTGTGTTTGGCATCGGTCGTTTTGCGTAGCTATCGATAAAGAAGCACGCGCAAAAGCTGTGGCGGATGTATCGCAAATCTGTTAAACAACTCCTGCGGCATGTTCAAGGTGCACACGATGTGTATGTGGGTGTCGTTGTAGAATTATAACACGCACGTGGGACGTATCGCTCACGGAGGCAGACCTCGACCGAGAGAATAGTTATTAGAAACACTTGCGTACATATGTGAGAGCTAAACGGAATGGCTGCGTGTCTGTATCACAAGTTCTTTGCCTTTTCTTTCGTCTATTTGACGAAGCAATATCATTGTGTTTGGTATCTTTGAGACGGATTCTCTCGCGATGCTCTACTTCATCGTGCATACGAAAGCATACATCTATACGAATTGCACCAAGTTTTTGTATGTTCACAAGACGGCATATCTATTTGGTACGCACAGGCTATACGCAGCTTCTCGGGTGCTATGCCGCCACATACAGAATCACGGGCATGGTGAATGTGCAGTCAAACCTGGCCTACTTCCCGATACTCTTTCTAACTACATGACTTTCAAAAATTTGGTATATTTTGTATTCGTTTGCGTTTCGTCTCTCTGAATAAAAACTGAATACCAACCTATTGCACACACGCAGCCGACAAAGAATTCTTGCGATCAATTCTTTCCAAAAAGGGGCTGACCCACGTTGTGCTAGTGGCCACAAACGAACGAAGTGAGTGAGGTTGTCGATCTATACTCGCTTCTGGGTAATTGTTTTTCTATCACAATACAGAACATTGCGCACGCATCGTGAGAGGTGTCAGAAGCTCCAGCTGATCTCGGATGAGGTGATGTGGGGTGTAACCTCTAAGCGATACTGTTCGTACCTGCGTTTTTATACATTGCGCTTATTCTATAAATCCTATTTCCGATTGATCGGTTTCGTCGTGTCGTCCTGAAGACGAGTTTAGCACAGTGACGAATATCAATCGGCAGGTCAGCTGCATCCAATTTGTGCTGGACCAGATGATGGAAAGGCCGACGCTGCGGTTGGTAATCGTGTCGTCTATGGCGATGGGCATGAGTGTGGAGAGGGATGCTGCTTCAAGGTACATAAATATATATATATATGTATTGTATTGTATTGTATTGTATTGTATTGTATTGTATTGTATTGTATTGTATTATATTGTGTGATTGTATTGTATTATATTGTGTGTAAGTGAATATTCGGAGTTTCTTTTTGTGAAGTCAAATGTACGTATTTGTATATTACTTTATCAACAACTTCGTAGTTGCCTGTAGAAACCTGCAAACTGAACATGAATTATATCACCCATTCTGTTTCCTATAGTTGATTGATGAGATGTACAGTGGTGTCACGCTGTTCTATCTAGGAAGTACAACTCTCAAATCCAACTAATTTATACAACCTGAATTAAATTGCGCATTAATACCCGCTATCAACAATTCGTTGTCAATATCACACTCACGCTGACTGATACCTTCATATTCACTGTTTGTTCCTACAGTGGATTGATTGAGATGTATAGTGGTCTGGCATTTGCCTACCACGAGGAGTACGGTATCAAAATCTCACTTGTCCATACAACGGCCGAGTTATTTGGCGCATGGGAACACCCCCAAATGCCTGTCAGTCAGTGGACTAAGGCGCTCGAACTACAGAGCGATACGCTATCTGAAGTGACAGGTATGTATGACACGAAGATGTTGTAAACATTTTTGAGGTCGTGACATTTTCCACGCAAATCGTGCAATGGAGTTTAGTTGCCAGCTTGATTTGCCGCACATTCACACGTCCGTGTATGTGATACACGTTTCAGGTGCTGTATAATTATGGCCATGCATCTGATATACGCTGCAAGTATATATATGATTATGTTTGTCAGCGTATTTTTAATAGAAATCAAATATAGGCACACAGGGCCCATATATATATATATATATATGTGTGTATATATATAATATTATACATATATATATATATCTATTTCTATATTTCTATATCTATCTACTTATCCCATCCGTAATCCACAGGGCACGGGCTGATGTATGTCGGCGATGCCGCGAATGCGATCCACTCGTGTATGATCCACTCGCGCGATTGGGACGTGTGGGAGGTTCGTGCCGGGGCGCATTCATACACCGATGTATGGGAAACCCTAGCCAAGTACTATCAAGGCAACCCCGAAAGTCGGGAGAAACTCCCGGCGGACCTGGCCCGAGAGAAACGGGACCGGGTCAAATTTGGGGCCGTCAAGGACAGGGAGCGGGACTCGCTGGGCACGAAGTTGCACCTGCTGCCGCATACTTATGTCACCAATGCGCATTCGAGCATGCTGAGTGGTGCTTCCCCACCGAGGTGTGTTTGTGTCGGTATATACATATGTAGTGGTGGATTATTTTGTATCTTTAACCATACAGACTTGTTGTTAAATGGATGTCTGCATTGACTTCTGTGGTGAATTTCATGCGCACATAAAATTTGCATTAGTTTACTGTAGGTGTTTCATAATACGCATTGAACATGTGCGATTGAATATGCGGGAATGTATGTTTAGATTATAGTCCTTATTCTAACCAAAATTACAATACAATATGAATGACCACGCCCTTAACACAACAGCCAGTCGTAACTATTCGACCAATAACATCTCCATACCCGAATTCTATACACGCACGTGTACAAATAAACAACAATCGCACTGGTATTTTGTTCAATGTAGTTTGTACCTACCCTTTCTAGGATGGCACATACGCATTTACACCCAAGCCTACTCAAATCGAAGAAGGGGCTCAGTTGCACCCAGACATACACACGCATATATATATATATATATATATATATGTATATGTGGGACCCAAAACGTCTTCGCACAGATCAAACGCTCATGCCGAGAAGGATCGATCTGTTGCTT